TCAATCGAAACAAATAAAATTGATTTCATTTAAAATTTGAGATTGAGAAAAAGATTATGTTCTTTTAATTAAAATCATCGAGAAAAGAATGTTAGATTAGATCTAAGGTTCATTCTGTCTTTAAATAATTGAACATTCTTATTTTCATTAAAGGTTGGTAAAATAGTTAATTAATTGTATTCATTTAATGTATGGATTTAAGTTTTCTCTTACTTTGTCTATGTTTAAAAGGGGTCCTAAATTAAATTACATTTGAATTTGTATGTTTTATTGCAAAGACAATTAATTAATTAATTAGATACCGATTTAAGGCGTTGTGGGTGTTAATCATTCCTCATGCGTAATCGATTCCCGAACTCAAATTTTTGGTAATGCATACCTTATAATTGTTGTTTTAATTAAAATTAATATTTTATTAAAACGACAAATATTTTTTGAGTGTCCAATCACACCCTAATCAAATATTGGTGGTGACTCCACAAACCGATTTTATTGTTTTTAAACTTGAGTCCAAAAAAATCTCTTTTTTTTAATCAACACTCGGATTTTAAAAAGAACGTCTCGAGAATATTAATGTTAGAATATTGTGAGTTTAATAGTGTATCAAAGGAAGAGTAAATCGTACCAATGAGTTGGTTAAAGTGGTAAGTAGTTTGATATCGTTTAAACATGTTTTGAGTTTTAGGCATTGTGTAAACAAAATATCCCTAAAGACTCACCCACCAAAGTCAAGTATGCTACGTGGATCGATCGGAATTAATTAAGGCGAAACCCTAAAATTGGGAGGGAAACAAAAAAAGGGAAGAGTAAATTCATTTTGTTTGTTTTTTTTTCTGTTTTTTCTTTTTTTTCAGAGTCTGTTGTCTTCTCCAGGTTATTGGTGAATGGTGACTTGTGCATTGCTCATTGAAGTCATCAGGGGATGATTTTTGCTGTGGATTGTGCATGATCTTATATGATGATTTATTTTTAACCGGCATTTGACGAGATTTGGACTGTATAAATTCTTCTTAGATTTGGAATTAATTTGTTTTTAGGACTAAATGATTGTGGATATGTTGATGGATGGTTTTCTTATGTTGTTGGATATTGATCACGCCTAAATTTCGCTATTTTTTTATCAGCATTTTATAATAAAGCAGATGTTATTACCAATATTGAGATACATTAGCAGATCAACTTGGGTGATAAAAATCAATATTGAAAATCTTTAAACTTTAGTGACCAAAATAGAAGTGAAAAGATAGTTAAGTGATTAATGATATATTTTATCCATAAAAATGCCACGTGCAATAGTTCGTTAGGTTTTTAATGGTGAAATCCTAAAATGAAATAAAAAGTAAATGTTATATATGATTTTGAAACAAATCAATGTTTAGGTACTAAATGTGTAGTTTACCCATATAATAATTAATTTATCCTCATGTTAAAATCATAAAGAAAAAGCTATTAAAACAAAAACATTGAAAAATATTTATGAACTAGAAAGTTAGGTCACCCAATCACTACACAATAGTAAATTATTTTAATTGTTTAAATTTTTGGAGTAAAAGTATGCAAATGGTCCCTCGATTATAGGGAGCTACTTTGTTGAGTCATCTGACTATTAAAAGTTACAAAATGACTCTCTTACTATAGGACGTTATTTTGTTGAGTTCCTCAACTATTAAAAGTTACAAAATGGTCACCGCGACTATTTATATGTTCCAAACTCGTCATTTTTGTCAAAAAATGACTGTTGTCTGAGCTGGACATTAACCTGCTGACTAAGATATGATAAAATCATATTTTAATGATGTCCACTGACAACACTGTTACTTTCAAGAACTGACTAGACGATATAATGTTTAAAGTACTGACTTGATGACATAATATAAACGAAGAGTCGATCCATATCATACAACTCAAACGATTTTTGGATCAGATTTTATCATATCTTAGTCAACATGTTTACGTCTAGCTCATACGATCACTATTTTTTTTAACAAAAATGACAAGTTCAGAATATATAATTAGTCAAATGACAATTTTTTAACTTTTAATAGTAAAATAATTCAACAAAGCAATGTCCTATAATTAGGTGATCATTTGTGTTCTTTACCCCATTTATTTTTGAAGTTTGCTTTTAGGTTTAAATGTGGATAATTTATTTCTTACTTTCAAGATAAAGTTAAGATAGAATTATGACAAGGGTCAAATTATTTAATATTAAAATTAAGGGCAAATTACATCAGATACCATCAAACTTTAAGCGTTGATTCGTTTATACCATTAAACCTTTAATTTTGTCATTTTTAGAACTAACATTTAATTTTAAGTACAATTATGACACTCCATCGTTAATGAATTAATGGGACAATGACATGACAGTTGTGTGCCGTGACATTGCTGACATGGTTCCTCACCAAAATGACGACGTTTTGGTGTGATTATATTGGTGCTCAAAAACCACAAAACGACATTGTTTTGTTTATAGAAAAAAAAATACTTCCCATTAGGACGCATTTAATAAAAATAATATATATATATTAAAAAAATCAATTGAGTTATAAAACAAGATTATAATCAGCATCACCGTTATCAAAGATGCGTCGCCCGACCTCAACTACTGTCCTGAAAGAATCAGCTGATAGTCCCTCCCAATGTATTCCCAAACCCTCAACGTCTGGCTCTCCTCATTCAACAGCCAAACCGTGGATTTCAACAGCCATTAATGAACATATCCTCCATCAGACTACATCCCCAACCTATTATCCAGAAGCAATTTATAGTCACTATCATTGACCAAGTTGAGTCCCCTAATTGCCATAACGATTTCCTTCCTTTCATGTACTTAAAAGTAGACGTTAATATTAAAATTGATAAAATTAAAAATTTGGTAGTATAAACGAGTCAACGGTTAAAGTTTGATGATATATGGTGTAGTTTACCCTAAAATTAATATGATTTTTTTTGTGAAAAATTAATTATGATTTGAAGAAAATAATTAGGTAAAAAATAAGGAGATCGGAGTTTAATATAATTAATTTTAAAATTAGTAGGTTCTAAAAGGTAATTAAATAAAAAAAGTAATAGTATAAATTAACATTATTAATTTTTAAATTGATAAAATTCTAAAATAATTAAATAAAGGATTAATCCGTTAAAATATGTATTTATTAAAACACCGCTATTATAAGGAATGGAAAGTGATACAAATTAAATTTATTTACTTATATATTTTTATTTAATTATTCATATTTAATTTATTGATCAATCAATATAAAACAATTATTATTGAAATCTATTATGAGAATTATTCTTTTGGATTAATTTTTATTCTTTCGGATCAATTTACTCTATTCATAATATTAGAATTTGATCTTTGATATTACTTAAAATTTAGTGTTTTATTCTATTGAATCAACTAATTATTCATATTTACTTATGTATTTTGGATCTTTAGTCCTTCATCAACGAATTTAATTAGGTGTTTGGAGATTAATTCCTCAATAACCAAATGAGTGCGTCAGTTGTCGCATAGTGTTGAATTGTGTGGGTGCATATGCCCAAGGAGAGAAGACAAGTCACGGACTGCCAAATTGGAGAGAGAAACCCTCATCTCGTGATTATTTAGCAGCTACAGCTGAGGATGTTCAAAAATATTCCACTTGGTTGATTTGGTCCGTCTGTCAAGCTGAACTTAAAAAATGGGTAATTCTTTAAAAATAATTATCCGACCAGATTGAGCACCGACCCGTGATTTTTCTTAGATAGTTAAGTCGAGTCTGAGCTAAATGTTTTCTATAACCGGATACCCAATCCTACCGGATAGTTAATATGATATTCGAATAAAATATCACGATAGATATTAATATTTTTAATGTTTTATTTTGAAAATAAACTTTAATATATATTTTTAAATATTTATCTTTAAAACTAATTTCAAATTACTAATTTTTATGTATGTATTGTGTGTATTATGAACTTTTAAATTTTATGTATTTTTTATGTGATTTAAAAAATTAAATAAAAAATATATATGAACTAGGCACTCGGAACCCGAAAATGCGAATACTCAAATTTTACGGCTATCCGACTACCGAATACTCGAACTTAACGAACCGAGTCATGAACTAACAAATATATTACTTGAGGGACCGAGTATCTGGTACTTCAGATACCCAAAAATACGAGTATTCGAATTTGGACACCCCTAACTGCAACTATCGATAAGGTTGTACTTGTAGTTTTAAAATATACAACTTATTGATTTATCTGATATTATTTTTAATTATTGCAGGAATTCATGTTCAAAAAGTAATTGTATTTCTCCATTGGATAGATTGAATAAAAAATCCTATTTATTCGGTGCAACTGGTAATATATTATAACTACTTATTGCAAATTGTATGCAAACAAATTGCAAATTTTATATTATATACCAAAAATATTAACTAAGTAAAATATTCATGATCTTATATTATTTTTTTATTAACATGATCTTATATTAACTAATCAAAGATTGGAAATTATAATTATATATACAAAATATTATCTTTCTTTAATAAAACATCTTTTCTGAAAGGATAAATCACGAGGAAGGTTTAGCGTCAAATGTTAAGTTGTGAAATTTTGAGGCTTTTTTCTGATAAAAAATATTTTTTTTAGTTAAAAAATATTTTTTTTAGGATTATAAGTCGCAGTCTTATTATGTCGGACACATCCGACGTAATATTTATATAAATAAATTTACAAGCTAAAAACTAATTATTTTAAAAGAATATAATATATACCACCAATAAATTGATATAGTTGGATGAGATACTAGATTTCTTAAACAAAGTAAGGAATTGAAACTTAATATTTACGAATGGAACAAACTAGATTAAAAAGATCATCAACGTCTTCTAAAAGAGTACAATGATACCCAACATCCCCTCGATTCATCTCTATTTATAACGATAATAAATAAATCATAAAATAAACTCCTGATTAAAAAAGGGTCACCCCTCCAACTTTTGAATTCACATTCTTCTTATCCTGCCCCAACATTATTCTCTTAATGGAAATTGCCATCATTCAACCTCCCCGCACCCCATTCTCTATTTACGAAACCCTCTCCTTCCAACCAATTCCTAGGCCTCCTCCATGGAAGACCAATCAGCCTCCTCCTCTTCTCCGCCATCGTCACCACCGCTCAAAACATATACGCTGACAGCATCCTCAATCTGCTATACTAAATCGACCACCTCAACTACTTCCCTCACGGGATATTTGCTTTTCAAGCCTTGCACTTCAACAACTCCAACGTACATCCTCCGGGATGTCTCCTTCACCGCCAACCCCTCACAAATCCTCGCTATCGTCGGCCCCAGTGGTGCCGGGAAGTCCACTCTCCTTGATATTCTGGCAGCTCGGACATCAGCAACAAGTGGTACTCTTTTACTCAATTCCACTCCCATCAACCCTTCTTCATTTCGGAAGCTCTCGGCTTATGTTCCTCAACACGACGCATGCTTACCGTTGCTCACTGTAGCCGAAACTTTTGCTTTTGCTGCTCGTCTTCTTGTCCCTCAAACATCAGATATTGACACCATTGTTACGTGTCTTCTGTCAGAGCTAAGGCTAACGCACTTGTCTAACACCAAACTAGCTCATGGGCTATCCGGCGGTGAGCGGAGGCGCGTTTCGATAGGTCTAAGTCTCCTCCATGACCCTGCTGTTCTAATCCTTGATGAACCCACTTCAGGCCTTGATAGTACTTCAGCTTTCAATGTCATACAGATCCTCAAATCAATAGCTGCTTCACGTCATCGAACTGTTGTTTTATCCATACACCAACCAAGCTTCAAGATTCTTTCCACCATTGATAGAATCCTGTTGCTGTCAAAGGGGACTGTCGTGCACCATGGTACACTATCTTCACTTGAAATATTCCTAAACTCCAATGGGTTCACTGTTCCTCCTCAGCTCAACGCCCTCGAGTATGCCATGGAAATATTGAACCAGCTGCATGATAGCAAACCAATTACACCACCATCACTCCCTCCAACACCACAACACTCTCCTGTAACCGTCAACAATCACGAAGCAAGTGATATCAGGTATAGAAGCTCAAGACTGCATGAAATCTGCTCTTTATATAACAGGTTTTGGAAGATTATTTACAGAACACGGCAGCTTCTTTTAACCAATGCATTAGAGGCTCTTATCGTGGGACTTGTTCTAGGAACAATCTACATCAATATTGGTTACGACAAGGAAGGTATAGAGAAAAGATTTGGTCTCTTTGCCTTCACTCTCACATTCCTTCTCTCTTCTACAACAGAAACCCTTCCGATCTTCCTTAACGAAAGACCAATTCTGCTGAGAGAAACATCAAGTGGGGTTTATAGAGACTCTCGTCTTACCTCATAGCAAACACCCTCGTCTTCTTGCCATATCTGCTTGTCATTGCGATCATATATTCAATCTCTGTTTACTTCCTAGTGGGTCTATGTGCTTCATGGCAAGCTTTTGGTTACTTCGTTTTGGTCATTTGGATCATTGTTCTAATGGCGAATTCATTTGTTCTCTTCTTGAGCTCTCTTGCACCGAATTATATAGCCGGAACGTCGCTTGTAACGGTACTTCTGGGCTCTTTTTTCCTCTTCTCTGGCTACTTCATCTCCAAAGATAGCATGCCCAAGTACTGGCTCTTCATGCACTTTTTGTCAATGTATAAGTACGCTCTGGATGCGCTTCTTATCAATGAGTATTCTTGCCTTGTGTCAAGGTGTTTTCTTTGGTACAGTGAAACCAAGACTTGCATGGTGACCGGAGCTGATGTGTTACAGAAGAAAGGACTCCATGAGAGACAAAGATGGACCAATGTTTACATCTTGGTTGGGTTCTTTGTGTTGTATCGTGTGCTTTGTTTGCTGGTTTTGATCAGAAGGGTTTCAAGATCAAAGAAATGAGAGACATTTGATTTTTCTTTTTTAATATTCCACCTTATTTTCTATGTTACGTCTTATTCCTTCGTTCCCTTTATCACATATTGTAGTCCCTGTAATGGCTTGGTTGCTTAGATAATTTCAATTGATCTCTGAAAAAAATAAGTACAACTGCAAACTAAGTAATGCTCTTCTCCATTTTAAATTAGGGCATATACTTTCATTTTGCTTAGGTCACGAAAGATGCCAGGAAAGTTTCACATGGATTAACAAGCACACAAGTTTCTTACATGATACATGGCTCGACAGTCGATTCCTGGCATCATGAAATTTGTCCCGACGTCTTTCCGCCAGATTAAACTACTTGACAAAATTACTATGTATAACATTACAAGTATGAAAAAGTAAATAAATCCACCTATATAAAAGCCATAATTTATTAGGTAAAGTATACAAATAGTCCCTAGACTATAGAGTGATGTTTTGTTGAGTCCCTCAACTATTAAAAGTTATAAAATGGTCTTTCGACTATAGAGTGTTGCTTTGTTGAGTCCCCGACTATTAAAGGTTACAAAATAGTCACCCGACTATATAGTATGTTCCAAACTCATCATTTTCCGTTAAAAAATTGACAACAGTATGAGTTAGATGTTAACCTGCTGATTGGGATATGATGATTTTTTTTAATATTTTGGGATCAAATTTTATCATATCTCAATTATCAGGTTAACATCCAGCTCAAACTGTCGTCAAATTTTAACAAAAAAGGACGAGTTTGGAACATAATGAATAGTCGGGTGACCATTTTGTAACTTTTAATAGTCGGGGACTCAACAAAGCAACACCTTATAATCGAAGGACCATTTTGTAATAGGTAAAGATTATTCTTTAACTTGTATCTAATTTATTGATCAACTATTTTGGATTGAGTTTTGGACTCATTATAAGGACAATCTTTCTAAATCAATTTATTTTATTAACATATACCAGGATTCAAATTCCTGAACTAACTTAAAAGAGAATATTAATTACTCATGCACTTATAATGCAAAAGCTATGTAACAACCCAGAAAAATTAAAGAAAAAAAATAATGAAATCAAGTAAATCGGTGAAAATTAGAGGACTAAATTGAAAGTTTTAAAAATTTGTAGTCTATTTTAGAGTTAAGCAAAATTCAGGGACTAAACCTTGAATTTACCCAAAAAGTGTCGACAGACACTATATTAAAAGCTGAATCAAATATGCGTGGGGGAAATTCATAAGCAAAATTGATAAGTTTTTCTTCATTCCAACACCCAACTTCCAACCACGATCCTGACGTCGTCCGAATTCTGATCGTCGTTTTGAAACCACCATCGTGTTCATCATCGAGCGAGGAACAAACTCCTTAAATTAATTAAAGTGAAACGCTGCCAAACGCCGTGAATTTCAAGTCAAAGTCTTGACATTTTTTTAGCTCAATCGCCGAGAAAATCTTAAATTCATCGCCGATCGTTGCTCCGTTTACGACACCTCCCGCACCATCGTGTTCCTTGTGCCATTCCGAGTCCGTCGGTGTCATCCTTGGTCTCCGTCGACAGCGGCGCGTGGGGAGGTGAAGCGGTCAAAGTTTCCAATTTGTTGAAATCAAGCTCTCCGCCGTTCAAAAATTTGAACCGAGCTTTGTAAGTATCCCGAAATCGCTCAAAATAATTTTTAGAAATTTTTCCGTGAATTATAGGACACCGGAGGAGGTCCCATGCGCCCCCATGCGCCGCTACTGCGCGTGGGGAAGGGATCGACCAGTGCTGAAACCGGTTTGACCGGTCTTAACCGGGTTGACCGATCCGACCCGATTTGACCCGACCCGACCCGTAGACCACCGTTGACCGTTGACCATCTTTGACCAGAATTTTAACTGGCTTTGATCAGCCATTAAACGACCGTTAATCTTTTCCGAGTATACATATCCTGATATTTTTTGATGTCCCAAATCCATTTTTGAGGTTCGTTTCACCAAATTCGAACCCGAAAGTCTCAAAATTGTCAATTAAATCCTTTGACTTTGACCAAGAATTTAAATATTCGGAAGGTCATACTTTATGTTTTTCGACGTACTGAATCTGATTCCGAAGTCCGTTTTGCCAAATTCTGACCCGAAATTCCCAAATCGAATACGTGAACAAAAAAAGGCTTAGTATTTTAGTGTTTTGATTATTTATTTGAGTTTTGGTTAAGGAATTGATTCAGTAAAAATATTTTATGAAGGTACTCGTGTTTCACCTGAGCGAGGATCAGTTAGGTCCAGAGATGTTCGTTCGTTAGATCATCCTGAACCGCGTACTACGAGAATTATCCGTAGGTTTCCGTAAATTATTTAAATAAAGATTAAGATTATTTATATTAGGATCTCAATATGGATCTTTCCAATTCGTAGGATCTAGTACTGCAGCAGAGCGTGATCGATATATCCAGTAGTAGGCTTCCCTATCTGATTTCTCATACTGTTACAGGTGTGTTTTCCCGACAGTGTTACATTATTACTGTTTTAAACTATATATCTGAATATTGTATATCTGATATCTGATTTACCGCATATTTCTGATATGCTTTCTGGTTACGGTATTTTTATACCGATTTTTTGAATACTGATTATCCGATATCTGAATTTCTGTATACTACTGATTTGCCTTCTGATTTCCATATTTCTGTATATGATTTCTAAGCATGAACAACTTTATGTTTTAAAGAATTAATCATTGTTTCTATTCAAATACATTCATGTTCATTTCTGTCATTGTGGGTATTGTTGAAGGAAGTATATCTGCAGGTTCCTTGGCTGTCTGCTCAGGGCCTTACTGGTTGTGTGGGATGGGTGTATGGTTCTGGGGAACCTACACAAACAGATTGTGAAAGGATGGGGGTAGTGTTTATGTTTTCAAAACATATTGCATAAACAAAAATTTTATTGTAATATTTTATTTGTATATTTTCATACATTATATGGAGCACACTGGGCTTTTTAGCTCATTCTATAGTTTTACCCTTTTTCAGATAACAGCAGACAGTAAGCAGCAGATTTAGCATCAGGGGAGATTAACTACTTTATTTTGTACGAACGTATATATCTATATGTTTTTGTTTTTTGTGTGGTGACATGTATCTTGCTATCGTTTTGGATATATCTGTATTATTTATATTTTGTAATGTATTATAAGTCTTTTAAAAAAAATCTATGAATGGGATATGTGACTACTTAGGTTTGAGTCTAACTTACAGAACGGGTCTGGGGCTTACATTTGGTGGTATCAGAGCCTTCGATTTTAAACACTCGGACTGTATATGGGTCCTAAACTTTGAATTTAAAAAAAATGTGTCACCTTATTTCATGATTTAAAGTTTTCTCGAGATCCCTGATGCTAATCTGACATATGTTTTAATTTCTTTCTGTAAAATCCTTATAGATCCAACGATGAGTGCTGCTAGAGGTCGCAGGATAAGACGTGGTCGTGGTCGAGGACGAGTCACTCGACCTTCTGTTACGATAGATGATCCGATGTCACCACGTGATCCTCCTATTCTGTAAATAGATCCGACCCTTTCTCATGATGATCAGTTTACTCCTGTGAGAGACCATCCCGTCACTGGAGATGAGGATACTGACATGAACGAAGATGCCATTAAGAGAGCTATCTTTCACATGTTTCAGAGAGCTGTCAGAGCCCCTAGTAATATGATTACGGTTGAGATTTCAAATTTCTTTATAGTTGTGGTGTAGTTTCATTCGAGGGTATTACTGGTGGACCTCCGACAGACGCTGAGTATTGGTTGGAGGACACAGAGAGGATTATGGATGAGATGGATCTCATACCTGAGCAGAAGTTGAAAGGGGTCCTAAATATGTTGAAGAAAGAGAGCTTTAGATGGTGGCAATCGATTTCTGGTAGTATTCCGAGAAACCAGTTAACATGGGATCTTTTTAAGACACGTTTCCAGAGTCGCTATATTGGGGAGAGATATCTACAGGAGCGACGCCAGGAGTTTCAGGATCTGGACCAGGGTAATATGTCTGTTATGGACTACGAGGTGGAGTTCATCCGATTGAGCCGATATACCCCTGGACTTGTTAACACAGAGGTAGATAGATGCTTGAGGTTCGAGAATGAACTCAGGCATGAAATCAGGAGTCAATTTGCTACCCACCAGGAGAGAAATTTTGATACATTGGTTGAGATAGCCAAGACTGCTGAGGAAATAGAGCGATTGGGTATGGAGCACAAGAGAGATAGTGATCAAGCTCAAACCCGATTCAGGAGGCCTTCTGGTTCTATTGATTCTTCTGCACATCCTAGCAAGAGAGGAAGGAATGATTCCTTTCAGAGAGGCGGTGCGAGTATCAGACCTGTTGTATCTGGCTTCTCAGCTGTTCAGCCTTCTAGACATGGTGGATCTTCTAGGTCGCAACCTTTGCAGACATGTAAGCATTGTGGGAAATCTCATTTTGGGGAATGTAGGAAGAAATTGGGTACATGTTTTAGATGTGGTTCAGGTGACCATATGGTGAAGGATTGTCCAGAGCTAGCTTATACAGTTCAGACACCAGCTCGTACTCCCGCTAGTTCTCATAGTACAGTCCAGACTCCAGCAGAGGGTCGTGCTCAAGAGAGAGCATCTGGATCGGCTAGTAGAGGCCGAGCATCTCAGAGTAGGGGTCCAGTCAGATCTGAGTCCAGACAACCTGTATTGGTTTACACTGCTAGACTTCGACAGGATCGTGATGGGCCTAATGTGATTGCAGGTACTGTTACTATTCATTAAGTTCCCTACTTTGTATTATTTGATAGTGGTTCTACCAATTCCTATGTATCACATTCCATTTCTGAGGGTCTTAATATTCTTGTTGAGAATACTGAGCATTCGGTGATAGTTCAAAGTCCCTTGGGCAAGTACATCGTGTTGGAGCGTATTTTTAGAGAGTGCCTTACAGAGATCAATGGGGAGATTTTTCTGGCTGACCTGATGGAGTTACCTTTGGAAGAGTTCGATTTGATTCTCGGCGTAGATTGGTTGGACAAACATCGAGTAA